TCATAATTGTCGTTAGTAAAGTGACCGCTAAGGGAGGTCAATCCTGAACAGCACGAATGGAGCCACCACTTCTATCCAACGTATTTCCTGTCAGTAAGGGAACAAGCGCGCTCCCTCATAGAACGGAATCAATCTTTCTTACCATCGTTCTCTCGGCGAATCATGTAGTGGTAGATGATTTCTTTATTGAGGTGTAAGAATCTTAATTTATACAAATAAGCCAAATAAACACTGTGTGGCAGCAAAGACGGATTAATGACTACCTTGAATAGTAGGTATCTATTGTCTATTAAAATGCGTTACTCATACTAACACAGAAGACATTGCTCCGGGTATAGGTTATAAGACCGAGGCATAAGACGACAGCTTCACACATAATCTCTACGTCATAAGAAAATATTTAGGCTGCCCTAAGCAGATATATCAGCGTTAATTACCACATTAGTATCAATAAACGTATATTCCCTGCAAGAAATTCATGGTATTTAGATCACTCTACGGCAGATATATATCGAAAAGTTTTCTAATGGATAATCCCTTTGAAGTTGCGTTTTATATCATATCGCACCGACAATATAGCTGTTTTTTAAATAATCTGCATGGACACAGATGCGCGGTGGAAGTGAAGTAACTGTCTTTGCTGTTTCAAATATTCGGCGTGTGAACTATCTGGTTGTCTGCTCACTCCTCTATATACGAATACAGGCATATGTACATACAAAACTGCGATACTTGTGCAAAAACAGACGTTGAATGAAAAGCTCGATGTGTTCAACTACGGTGTATTGTTCCGCTACCGTTTGCAAACAAGTGTTATCGAACAAAGGTCGCATGCGGAATAGAGCCGCATGTAGATGCAGGTAGCCAGTGAGCGACAAATATCCTGCACATCCGTTCTGTGTAAGCAGGACAACAACGATGTTTCGCCCCACCACAAATTTCCCTGAACAGAAGACATATGTATACATACCTCTACTATTATATGCATACATAATCTTCGGAAATGAATGCTCCAGTGTTTAATACTTCTCAAGAGGAGTTGCATTAAGGTTATTATTTAGAACATAATATCAAACTTACTACTTGAAATTTCAGGGTGCAGGATAGCAACAATCCGTTGAAATGGTGTGAGAGCAAATTTGGAAAGAGATAGTACATATGCAGAGATGCCTTGCCTCAACAAATATACCTTTAGTGAATTAAAATAAATATGAGTGGATTCACCGAACTAGAATCTAGCTAAGAAAAACGCGTTAGCGCAACATTCAGAGGTAACGATGATAACACTCACAAGCGGTCATAAATGCATATAAACCAAAACTGTATAACAGATTTCAGTATATTATTTTCAACGGCTTGAAAAATATGTTTCTGAGTTAACACGATACGTTCAGTGTTTGAAGTTTCGCGCGCATGGTACTTGTGCGGAACAGTTTCATTTTTACAGCCTACAACTCACCATCAAGATCCATGAGATGAATTATTATTATACTTTGATGTTTTTTTAGAAGAAATAAAATGAATGAACAGCTGATTAGTAAAGCTTAGAGGCACTAGCGGATGAAAAATTTGGGAAGACTGTAATAGCATTTTTACTATAGCCGGACCATAATAATCCTGAAAGCAATGTTCTATGGCACCTATCAATAATAGAAGTATTTCCAAACGGTGTTGGTTTCTCTTGACTTATTTACCAAACGTTTTATCAAATATAATAGACTGCCCTCAGCGTTAACCAGTATTTTTGCTTGAGATAACTTCCTATATGAGCGTCTTGAGTTAGAAGACAAAAACACAACCCAACGTATGATTAGTTCGGAATGTCGAAGCGAGCGATCTCACTCATTCGAAAACTTATTTTTCTGCCCTCCGAGTCTGTTCACTCAAGTCTATTCACTATAGATGTAGACAATTATGTTAGCTTCAGATGTTAGATCATACACAAACCTTAATTTCGATTTGACGGAATGATATATACCAAACTTGGTAATCCGGTGATAAGAGATTCTTCGCTATCAGTGTTTGTTTCGCAATCCTTAGATAAATCACGTATGCTTTAATAAACAACCCCAACAAGTGGGGTCTCATTATAAAAGTACGCGATAAAATATAAGTTGCACAATATCGTGGTATTTTCCAGTGAAATCGCGCTATTGAGTTTCTTCTGATAAGATCGATTAAATACGGCCTTAGATTTCGTTGGTCTAGGAAATATAACAGGGCATTCTTTGTATTTGTCTTCGAGCAAGATGAACTAGGGATAGATTTAAGGATACGTTGTTTTTTGCGGTGATTGGCCATAAACGTAAATAAATGAAACGTCTGATTTTTAAAGCATTTGATAATGACTGAAATGGCGGCGAAAATCACAACAGAGTTGTTAGGTTTGTCTTCACGTTGATAATGCAGTGCCCAACACTCTCTCAAAACGATTTGCTACGCTTTAGCCCCAAGGATTTGTTTGTGTATTATAAAATGTTAAGATTCCTGGTACAGTTTGAAAGAACAACGAAAATGCTAGCTACAGCTGTGGCAATAATACCATTATATTTTGGCGTCGAAATCGCCAAATCGGCGCTGACCAACACGGGGCTTGCCGACTTCATTAAATTGGCTGTAGTAAACCGAGCAGCGAACCACCAGTGACGAAAGGCTCTTCGTTTGTGAAGAAGACGCACATGGCAAAACTTCTGACCAAAATAAATTTTCAGCTCAATTCCCAGTCGGATTTTATATTTTTCACAAACGATAGTAAGCAATTTTCAGAAGCCGAATATAGACGTAGATGCTAAGTGCAATACATAAAATCTTAACGTCTTTAAATCTTTTTTTACTTCTCATAATCTCAATGTTAATCCATAATCTCAAGGCTGAAAGAATTGATGAGACAGCATTTAATAGTACTGATAAATGCTACAGATTAGTGATGCAATTGACAATAGATCGTGAGCTCGCTGGTTAATTAGTTATGGTATTTACATTACCCAGTGGTCATTAAATGCTTTAAAAGTGTATACGACGCTTCTCTTCATCTGTATTTCTGATGGTTAAATTTATTTCTCATATCAATTGATGTAGGAATATGTCTATCTCTATTAACATCCTTTCAGACGTCAGTAAATCTAGATCGTTATAAAAAAATTAAATCATAGTAAAATCGGTTTTTCGTAGGCTGTAGATCGTAGTTATCCGAGCGCTGCGTTTTTAACTTTGATTCTCGATTTTGCTTGAAACGCGAGCGGACATGCTGTAACAACTGGCCCTAGTACCGCAGCAACATCGACTAAAAGAAGTGGAAAAAAGATGAAGAGAGAGAATGTGTCTCACGTTTTTTAGCCCTAAAATGGGGTTTTCCTTTGTTCCTTCTCCATTTCGTAAAATGCTCCGAATTTCAAGTTCGGTACTGCCTTAATTAATTATTGCTTCGGACGACTGGCTGCTTCCAGCACCAAATTAAGTGTGTCTACGACCCGGTTCGAGCCTAAATGATTTCACACGTCGCTAAGTATAATACGAAAATACGTTACCACTGAACTACGACGGGGACTTCAATTTCGTGGTACTGCTATTTCGGCAGAGCATTTAGGTGCAAACATTTTGCTGCATATGTATAGAATATATGCGCTTCGTCGTACTTTGTTTGTTCTTATTCTTTCACTGTAAATGAAGTTCATGATAAGAAAACCTTGATGAGGTCAAACAGAGAATATTGAACCGTGTTGGGTCTCTTCCGGCCAGAAAGAGCTAAGTTGAATTGGTCTCTGGAGCACTTTAGTGACACACTATTTATTTTTATGTTTCACTCAATAGAAAATTGAAGATATTGCATCGCCTTTGTTAACGACAGCGGATTCCATCACGTCACCATCATTTCTACCATAATCAGTCCCATCATCATCATCAACAACGTAATGATCGCCGTCGTCATCATCATTAGCATCATACCAATCACAGTTCTATCCGCTATCAACATTGCCGTAGACATAAAATCTTGGTCAAATCATCTGCAACTAATTATTGCAACTGAAAGGAAAGCAGCCATTTGTTTCTTTCATTAGCGTTGCTCTCATTGCTGATGGCTCGTTGTTGATTTCGTTCTTCAAGTGTTAGTTACAATTCCACAGTTCATTGGCAGTGGTTGTTCTTATCGCTTCATTCATTTTTGAAAATTTCGCGTCATTCACGTTAATAAAGAGACAGACTGTCTCTATTAGGGCAAACTACACATGGGTCCGCAAACACTAGTGCTTATTATATATATATGTATATACATATATACTGCAATTATAATTTCGACATATTTAAATGATAGTTCTATACTTAACATTTGGGCTCTCATAAACATTCGCGTCATTAAGCGGACAGATTTAAAATGTTATAATATATTCAACAATTCACTGTGTTTCTTAGTCACAAAATAGGTTTAAACAGTTACTTTTTTAATCAGTGTCCATATGATTTAATATTTAATCTGCTAGTTACGCTGTTCTCCATAACCTTGCCATTACTGCTTCCTCCTTTTTACTGTTCTAATTATTTGACTTTGATAACATATATATCTATATCCGTTGCATGTGAAACTCTTATCAAGTGATAGTAATATCAACATTATGTTCATGTACAGAATTCATCTGCATCCGTCCGAAATCATCCATCTGGAAATCGTTCAAGCTATCAATTTTGTAATTGTTATAAAGCGTATTTAATTTTATATTCTCAGTTAAAAAACTGTATGTGACAAACTGACTTCTGATAATTTTTAAATTGTTTAGCAGAGAAAAGCACCCGCTTATTATCTGATGCAGAATCCCCGTCAGTAGCCTTGTTAATCAAGGCTTAAAAACAGGAGTATGGATTTTCCATTTACTAAGGCCTCTAAGACTATTTGAATTTGCACCTAACCTGCAGCATATAGGTATCCAGTATCGAGTTTTTCAAAATTATTTGTTGAGACTATCGGAGCGAAATGTCCAGTAGTGTTATTATTTATAAAGATTTACCTTTTAGCACGTGTCGGCAAGAGCGGCAACACCTGATACGACGATGACGATGGATATCACTGGGATCATCCTTTCTTGTCGCTCGCTGCGAGTCTCCCCGTTCCTTTGCGCTAGTTATTTTATATGCTATCACTAATAGTAGCTTTATAAACAGTACGCAGCTCCAAATGACTGCACGACTCTGAACTATTATTATTTTATGCACTGTACAAAATCACTATGAAGGCGTATTGTTCCGGTTAATCCTGCTATCGCACGCACATGCACCGATCGACGCACCATCGATGGTAATATTAGATAACAATTGGCTCACACTGCAACACCTTTGCTTGTTCCTTAGCACTACCACCTATTCACAAGCTTTACTCATGGTCGACATATCCGCACAGATTTCTAACTGAAAACGTTAGCTACCCTCAGTAGCGTTGCTTTGTTTTATCATTCGATGGTACCATCGCGGCAGGCTCTACCACCGCCGCGACCATTTTTTGATTGCGTTAATTCTTTTGAAACGCGGACGCCCTGTCGCTTCCAACAACAACAACAGGTGCGCCCCCGTCTGTTTCGTTGCACGTAAGAATAAGGCTCCCCACGCTTGAAAAAGTAGATAACATCCACCGTTGAACTGATCGCGTAGAATTTTCTTTAAAGGTGCTACTCACCACTAAGTACTTTGAGCTCAAGTATTGAACCTTTGTCAGTTTCAATTCCTCTTAAGCAGATGAAACGCTTCTGCAACTACAGCTGCTGATTATTCGTTTGCCGTTAAGAAAGCCGTTACTTTGGTTGGTGCTGTTCAAAGGCGTCCTGCAGCTAAACATGACGACGTGTCTTCTTCGAATTTCTAGTGGCAAGTGCTGCCCAACGATCGCGCGCCGCTACTGAGGTGGCCAGCCGCGCCCTTTCCCGCTTAGCGGTGATGCGCCACCAGTAGCTGTGGGAACAGTCGACCCTTCCACCAAACGGCGGACTCTTTCACTCAATGGACCCTCCACTATTCGTGCGCATGTGGATTGCACGTGGTATAACAGATAACAACACTTACAATCAACGGTAGCTAGAGGAACCGATGGCGATGATGACTGCTACAATATATAACTGTTACACCTGTACTCCCGTATATAACCACATGTGTTTGTATAAACCCACATAGTAAAAGCAACGCCACCGTTATGCTTATATAT